CCAAGTTTCTCAGAAGGGAAGACACATTAGAATCCTCCATGGAAAATTTGATTGACTCCCTCCAGATGCAAAGAGGAGGAGAGCAGTATCAGGTGGGTGGATGGAGGCATGCATAGGTAATTTGGTCATTAATAAGAGTAAGCTTGTTTGTTGCCCTTTATTCTCCCATTTATGTCCCTGAACATTTTGAAATATCAAGGAGCCACCATCAACAGAAGTTACTGTCACCCTGATGTTTCCCAGCCTCACTCCAGGATTCAGGTTGGTGAATCCCCAACCTGGTGAATGCTTGCTTGCCCCTGTATCTGAGTGGCTGCTGCAAGAGGTTCATCACTCTGCATCACAAGGATGGCATCAGGTGTCTTCTATCTAGGGGAGGAAGAGACAAATTTGAGGACTGAGATCCTGAGCCCAAATGCTAAACAAGGGTATTGGAGGAGCCAGAGAGGAAGCAGTCTTTGCTCAGTCCTTTTCAGTTGTGTTTCAGTTTCCTTAGGATCCTGTCATCACCAGTAAAATGGCAGTGGTGTGCTGATACTTAAATAGAGAAGGTGATTTTAAATTTTAAGGCTATTCTGTTCTCTGCTTGACTGGCTGCATAAAACAGTTCACTGGATTTTACCCAGAAACAGAAATTAATTGTATATATATTCTGCCTTTTCTCTTGTACTTACTTAGTCACTATCTGATCTGCCTTCTTATTGGCAGGTTTTTCAATAAGTTGGAAAGAGGGCTTCAGTGAATGTAGGCCATCTACTTTAACCTTGAACTGCTGATTAAACCCCACTGCAGAATCCTTTTCTCTGGGGTGCAGTAAAGAGAAGAAAGGAGAGGAGAAGTGGATGAGAATTTACTTTTCCTTCCTAAATGACTTTTGTGATTACCATTTCCCACCTGTCCTGAATCATGGTAAAAGGTTTATAATTGAGTGTCACAAAACAGAAAAACACATCCCCACTCTTCTCCAGTCAGCTAAATCAACACGTTTTCCTGGCTAACTTCAAGTGTTTCAGTGCTGATGTCTGTGTAAGTGGATGTCAAAACCAAAATAGCTGTATCATGCAAAAATATCAAAAGATGTTTTGAAAGCACTCAAATATGACAGGGAGGATAAAAGAAACAGGCTTTGTGGGTGATAGAACAACTCAAGTAAAATCTATTTCTCTTACAACAAATTCACTTTGGATAATGTAACCATTTTTGGATGACAGAAAATGTCAGTGGAAGTTCCTCTGTAGCTCAAGCATGGAGATATAAGTGCAGAGTCATGGGTGGGTTTGGGTGAGGAAGGACCTTGGGAGGTTCTCTGGCCCAACTCCGAGGCTAAAGCAGGACCTGCTTCGGTATGAGACTGGTTTGCTAGGTGGAGGTCAGTAGCTGGTGAATAAGGGATAGGTACTGTTTCATTGCAGGAGTTAGGTATCTCTTGGGTTGTGAAAGAGCACCTGTTTTATGGGAAGGACATAGATGATTTTATTTACAAACTCTATAGTCTTTAATGAATGTGAAGCCACAGATGATTTCAGACTTCCAGAGCTGCAGAGGTTTTCAGATGCAGTTTTCCAACACTTCTTTTAGTTTGCTAGCTGAGTGTCGTAGGAGCAATGATCCATGGAAATACTGCCTAGTGTGCAGTGGGGGGGGAAGGGGATCAAAAAAACAACCAAAAATACAAGCATTTGGCCAAAGTGCCCATCTTTATGCAATCCATAAAGTTATCACGGCTAATGTGTGTGCACTGTATTTAAAGTCTTGATGCCCTGAGTGTACTAGCTGCTGCAATAGGTCAGCCAAAAGCCAGAAAAGATAAGCAGAACTGACTGCAGCTCCCCTGCAAGTGGTCCTGCTATGCCATATATTCCTGTGGCCCATCTCAAATGACCAGTCTGGGTGCTCCTACCTATCATAAAGAAATGTGATACTGGTCTGTGTTACCTAGTGGAAACTTCTGTAGATCCCTGCCCAGCCTCTAGTTGCTATTCAAGGAGGAACACTGGTTTGCTGTATCCTCTCCCAGGCAGAGATGCTGTCACTGGAAAAGCATGCCAGGTTCTGGCTTGATGTCAGCACGTGGATGGACTTTATGCAGTTTGAGACCCTGGTTCATGTGTGTGACCTGCATGCATGCTCCTTTTGGCTTGCATGCTGTCTCCTAACCTGGCAGCTGGTGAGAGTGGCTTCTCCAAAGACGTGCTCACTGCACCCTCATATAACAAAATCTGATAGTTTCTGGTAGAAATGTGGCTACAGATGGGATCATCTCTCTCATGTGGTCCATGCTATCAGTAGGAAGCATGAGGTGTAGCTGTTGGTTTGCTTGCTCTCAAGGCTTGTGTGGCTGTGCTGCAGCAGCTCAGAGGGCAGCCCAAGTACACATTGCTGCTGATGAAGGGAGAAGAGATGATTTCAAGACGGCAAAATATATATCCCAGAGCAGGACAATCTACAGTAAAGTGAGGCAGAGCTGATGATGAAAATGGTGCAGGCTGTGAGTAAAACTGCTGTGCAATGGCATCATGAGATGAAATAAGGACTAGATGTAAGGTATGTGTGAGAAGCATGGGGTATGCTGCTAAGGTATGAAACAAATATTGAAGAGGATTATAGTTGTGTGCTGAAGTGGATAGAGAGACCCACAAAGGGAAGGAAGGGCAACCATAAAATGGGCTGTGAGGAATGAACCTCAGTTGTGAACTAGATGACAGCAGAGCAAACAGAGGATGTGAGCGTCAGATATACAATCTGTCCAGAGGGATGAGCATATACCTTCAGTCCTATGCAAAGAGGGAACTGGATCATGCTGGGACCGGAAACAAGATGCAAGACACTGACACGAGTGCTTTGACAGGTAGCCTATAGGATGCACAGCCATCCTTTGAGACAGTATGAAGTAATGGGCTATGCTTCCAAGGGGTGGTGATGGGAAAGACAGAGCATGGATATCATGCGTAATGAATGTTGTGTGGAGCAGTTGTCCAGCATGTCCAGATCAGGAACTGAGCTGAGTGTATAGGAACTAAAGAAGATGCTGCAGACAGTAATGTTTGCATTTCATCTATTTGAAAATAGAGATGCAGCAGGTAGAAACCTCTGGTTACCTCTAGTAGCTTGCATCAGCATCACATTTGTCAAGATGCCTAGAGGGGAATTTGAGTGATGTGGAGTGCCACTGGTGCACAAACAGCACTACTCTGGCAGAGGCTGTGCAACCCTTCAAGATGCTCACATTGCTCCTGCCAACTGACTGGCAGCAAATGGGCCAGACAGAACCACGGGAGTGTTCAGCCTCGTATCTGCTGAGAACCACCCTGCTCTAAGCCAGGGCTTCACGTGCACTTGCACACACATGCTTTCCTGTTAACTAATCAGTGGGGTTAATCAACCCCATCCTTGGTGTAGAGACCTGAGTCATGAGGCCCTGTCAGTCTATAACAGCAGGCAGGCAAAGGAGGCTGGTGAATGCCATTGCCAAATTGGGTCCACTGGGGACATAAAAGGAGAAACAGCTGGGGGACTCCCCTCCATACATCCCCACTCTGCAGCCAGTTTGGGCAAATGCAGTATTCCTTGGAGACATATCCAGCTGGTGGAGTGTCCGAGGAAAACTAGCCAATGGAAGGTGGCAGAAATGCTCGATGGTGCTGAGAACGCAGTGTGAAAGCTGGTTTGCTGTGTTAGTGCCTTTGAGGGACCTGGGGAGGGGGCATGGAGGCCGCCATACTTGGTCCGGCCATGTGTCCCCATGCAGGTGCCATTCTCCAAAGCAGTGTGGGGTGCTCACCCCAGCTCCCCCACCCAGCAAACTCCCGGCCAAAGGCAGGGGTCTGAGGATGCATGGTCCCCCTCTCACCCAACGAGTAACAAAAGCATTGCCTGGAGCTGGATTGCAGGGGGGAAGCGAGGGGATAAGGTGCCTGACAGCTGGAGAATAGAAGCTGGAGTGGGGGTTTTTGCTCATGCACATTACCTGGTGAATGGGAGGCTGCAGCTCCTGCTCCACAGCTTTAAAACTTGTCTACATCCTCAGCTGGGGACCCTTTCTTGCAAGCAGCAGGGAAAGAGAGGGCAGGAATCAATCTGTGACCAAGGCCAAAAATAACCCCTGCCCTGCAGCTACCAAAGTTGTTCTCTGCTCCTACAGGCTGGGGGAATAGGGGTGCTGGAGTTGCCAGGGACATTGGAGGGCACGCTTTGCATCGCCAGGGAACCCTGCCAAGGAGAGGCATGGGGAGCTGAAGCCTGAGAGGGGCAGTGAAATGGAAACCATGAGCCAGAGGATTGTGCAAGGCAATGCAATCCTCTGCCGGCAGAGCCATGCAACTGTGGAGGGTGCTTAGGCAGTGAAACCCCTTGGGGCACCTGGATTGTTGGTGGGGTACAGCCATCTGGGGTTTGCTGTCTGTAAGATGTTCTTACTTAAACACTGCTTTCATATCATGCTTTGAGCATGGCTTGAGTTCAGACAAGCTCTCTTGTTGCACATCTATTCTCCTGCTTCTTGTTCCAGGTCTCCTCAAGCCCTGATGCATGGCAGAGCCTTGGTAGTCTTAGTGAGAGGTCAGAGTGTGCCACACACAAGCCCACACACGACATGTGCTATGTGCTTCTGAATTCTTACATGCCTGTGACCACTCGTGTCAGACAGCAGTAAGTCCCCAAGCCCATCACAGGCTCTAACTAATTCATGTGTAGTGGGGCAGCAGGGAAGAACCCCTGCCCAGCCAGGAGAGCAGAGGCTGCTGCTCTATGTTGGGATTACAAGATCCAGGATGCCACAACCAGGTTTTAAGCAGTGACCGTGCACCATGGAGTTGCAGGGGACCCACAATTTGTTTCTGAGGTGCCTTTGCCTCAGATACCCCTCTTTAGGTTCTGCCTGCCTGCTGGGGTTGTAAATATAGAAACACAAGCCCTGGAGTTGGGTTTTCTTTTTCCTCCAAACATGTCCCTCCCATCTTAGCCTCATCTGTGCAATTCCTCCAGCTGCTCCTATACATGGTATGACCTTTTTATCCCCTTCCCTCGCTTCGCCCTCCAACCCCCCACCCCGTCCCTGCTTCCTTCCCTGCCCAGCACAGGGAGCCTGGGGCCAATTGGCTCCTCCATACGATCAAATGTCACTATAAGTTGAGAGCTGCTCCACCTTGGGAGGCTCGCAGATCCCAGCCTGCCTGTCCCCTTCAGCAGGGAGCTCGGTGCTTCTCTCTGTTCATCCCAGGTAAGCAGGAGTCACAGCAAGGGATGCTGCTGTGGGGATAAAAGCTGCAAAGGGGCTGGGTCTTGGTTTGAATGGAGAAGCATCAGGGGAGGGTTGGGGTCCACAGGATCTGGGATCTGGCAGAGGATCCTAAGAGGCACTTTTCCTTCCTGGCTTTGGTTAGGCACTGCATGATGCTCGTGTCACCTGCAGTGACTCAGGTGCTCTGAAGTCTCAAGGGTCAGTGGTAGTAGAAAGACCCTTCCAAAACCGAAGTGTGGGGCTAGGAATGACATGGCATTTCTTGGGGCACTTGGCAAAACCCTTCAGTAGCAGGAGGGAAGCGCTGACCTTCCCTCCCTGTCACCCAGAGAAAAGGATGGCTGAGGTGGGAGGGAGGCAGGACAGGATTGTTAGGAAGCTGCTGGGAGGCGAGGAAGACTGTGGGGTGTGGGACCAGAGGGAGACCTGAGAAACACAAATGTGGTCATGGAAAACTGCCCCATCCCATGGAAAAGAAGAAAACCGGGAGAGAACCTCCTTGTGCTTATGGAGGGGCAGGAGGATGGGGTTAATTCAGAGTGGTGATGGGATGCTCCCTGTGTGCATGGCTTCAAACCCCTGCAGTTGGTATGGCAGACTGCCCCCTCCTTGGGGGGATATCTCAGCTTTGTTCCTAGCAAGCCCCCTGCAGGCATCGGCCAAATTGTAATACACCAAAGACAAGGATAAAGGACACATTTTGGGGCAGGGAATCAGGATTTTGCTATGTGTCAGTGGAGCTTGCAGCAGCACTTGGGTTCTGCTACCCTGTTTCAGCAGCAGCACTGCAGTGGATGCTTCACTTTTCAGCCCATGGGGAGAGAAACATTTTCTGCTGGAAAGTGCTGTGCAGTTCAGAAACAAAGGGTGGAGACAGAGGGATAGAAGAAATACAGGTTTTAAAAGGTATATGTTTATATATAGAAAAGTATATATAGATATTTAATAGAGATACAGAACATCTATTTTTTAGTGTATATACATGTATGTAAAAAAGTAGATGCAGTGGGTTTGCAGAGGCTCTTGCTGGGAAAGCATGGACATGTGGTGCCTAGTGGACCATGCCCCTAGTCCTTGCCTGATAGTTGTCCCTGCCGGGTCCCACTGACCATGCATGGCTGCTTTTGTCCTCCCCCCTTTCCGTATGCCTCTTGCTACCTTGCCTCCCTTGTATGGCCTGGCTTGGGAAGGGATGATTGATGGGCGGGTTATTTCCAGGGATGGCCTGGAGGTGTAAGGCAGCCCATTCCCCCTCCCTGGTGCATTCTCAGCTGCTAAGAGGCTTCTTAGGATGTGCTGGCTCTGCTCTTGCAGCCAAGAACAGGAGCATTTGGGGCCAAAAGGGACATGGCATTCCTGCCTATCTGGGACTGATGAAGACTTGGGTATTTGTCCTTCCAGACATGACCTGCGTAGTTTGAACCAAATGCAGGAAATAACCTTTGATTTAACCTTTGAGGGTGGGAGCAGGCAGGAAGTTTTTGGTCTGGTGAAACTTTCCCATGTGTTTTGATTTCCCTCCAAATGGTTGGCAGCATTAACTAATTGGTTTTATTACATCCTTAAGCCTCAGTCAAGACCAGATCCCATTTTTCTGCCACTGTACAAACAAAGCCCAGTTATTGCCTTAAGGTGCTAACAGCCTTAATCCAAGGCTGCATTTGCTGTGTGTAAAGTAATTTCCACAGAAGGGTAATCTCGAGCCAGCTGGACACTTTCTGTTGCCTTCAGTGAACTTAATCCTAACTGCAAAAAACACCACTCTGAGCAGATTGCTTGCTTTATTGCCTTGAGGATGTAGATATGGTTTGGTTTTGTTGGCTGCTTTGGTGACAGATTTAGCTACGTGGACAGTGCTGGGCATCCAACAGCCTTTCTCTCATCTTGGGTGGCTGTTGCTATGATGGTCTGTGTTTTGCCCCTGGCTTTGAGGGACCAGATGGCTTTTGAATGCTATAAAGTGCACAGACACCTTGTTCTCCTTGATGTGAGACCTTTTTGGCTTTCCAGCCAGGGCAGTGGCAGTCAGCTACAGCCTTAAATGCCAGCTCCTCCTAATGAAGTGACTGAACTTGGCTGAATGTTTGGCCCTTGCAAGGCTGAAATCTCCATGTCCCCCTGATTTTTTGTCCCCCTTACTGTAGCCTGGGGGGTTCTGTCTGGCTCATCTGCACAAAGTCTGCCAATGCACTTGTTATTAATTCATTTTATCTGGGGCCTAGAAACCCCCTCAGGGTTGGGGTCTTATGGTGTCAGGGGTGCTGGCATTCTCTCTTGGCTTTTATAGCATGCAGACAGATGCCATGCAAAATCCCATTGGCATTTGCAGCGCTTGGATTAACAAATATGGAAGGGTGTAGGGGAACAGCCAATGTGGCAACCGTCGGCAAGATCTCCTTAGAGCTAAATTGGAGACTAGATGAGCTCATTCCAATAACTGTTAATGGAAAGCCTGATTGCAAAGACTCCCATTGACTTAAATTGCCTTGGAAAGAACAGCATACACTGTGTTATGTGCCTACCCTACACCAAACAGACATCGATCAGACATTTGTTCTCTCTATGCATATGCAGTGCTCTTGAGCTGATTTCTTCTCCACCATTGAGCAGTATTACTTCTCACTGGAGTGTGAGGGAAGAAGAGTTTAGCCCAGCGCTCTTTAAAAGTCCTCTTTTTCCCCTCCACCTTGGCAAGAAAGAAATCTGAATTTACAAATTAAAGGCAGAATCTATGGGAGGATTGGCCATTGACTTGAGTCTTTACAGATCACACATTTTGGAAGAAGCCAGCAGCTGGGCATCTGGCAGGTTCCCTCTCCATGCTTTTTCAAGGGGAAGCTCTGCTAACCCACTGCATAAACCAACATAATATGTTACTATATGTATTACTAATAGATTGAATAATTTTTGGAGGCTGAAATGAGATTGCAGACCTGCTAGCTGCTCTGCAAATAGCCAGTGGAAGTCTTTATCTGGAAGATTGGATGATCTAGATAAAAAGACCAAGGGATAGAGATCAGAGGTGGTGTAGCATTCAAATAAGTAATAGAAGAAGGAGCAGGAATCAATGCAGCAGGAGCTGATGCAGCAGAAAAGCCTTCTGCAGAGCTGAAATTCCTCCCAAACACAAAGTTCCTCCCGGATTCCTCTTGCCTCTTGGGTTTAGAGTACCCAAAGTAGTCCTGTTACACTGGCTGTTGCACTTGAGGAGTGGGCAATCACAGCTGCCAAGTTAAAAGCAGCCTGGGACCAAGAGATCATTGAACCCAAATCTCATGTGTCCTTGCAGTAAGTTATCCTCCCATCAAGCTGTTCAGACTGGGTCATAGCATGGCCATTGCTGGCACTACTTCCAGGGCAATGCTGAATTTCAGATAGAAAATAAATGAGGAACTAGAAGAAAAAAAATCCAAGCTGTTTAGCACTGCTTAGAATATGGGGGTTTTAAATCCTGTTGGTGTTAATATATGGTGCCCAGGGTCATTGCTGGGGAAGGAGAGAATCCCTTATAGGGCAGGGTTGGAGCCTAAGGGATTACTGCCTTCCTCTGAAATAGAAAGCTGCCAAGCTGCAGTTGTTTCTTTTGAACATAAGTCAGCCCACCTGCTCCTTCAAGACATCTCTCATATATCAGCTGAGTAATCAAGTCATGAAAGTCACAGTTTGGGTTTCCCAATGAGGAGGAGCCTGGCTTTCTAGTTTAAGACCTGATGTGGATTTGGAGGAAGTTTTGAGGGGCCCTTCCCCTCCTCCTCCCTTAGCCTCAGAGCAGCTGATGCTTTTAGAACCACAGTGTTGCACCACTGCCATCACAATATCACACCAATATCACAGTCTGCACTGAACCCAGTGCAGACTGTATTACCATGATGCTTCGCATAGCAATGCTTCTCCTTCTGACTCCAGTTGGAGTTCCTTCCATGCTGTAGCTCTCTGCGCGTGGTGGTCTGCATGCAGCCGTGACTCAGGCCGCACAGAAATGCAAGCCACAACAGCACCATGGATCAGTTCACTTCTGCCCCCCAGTGCAAGGATTGGTTGCAATAAACGCAGCTGGTTATACCAATGTGAATTGCCTACCCAGGCATTTGGCAAGTTTTCATCTTAAGCTAATTAACAACTAATTGTTCATTCATTCATCAGCTGTATAAACCAAACACACTTCTGGGTGCTGGCAAGTAAGTAGTTATGTGGGTATATTGGTAGTTTTAGTTATTTTCTTTTTGGCTCTGACTGATGCTTTGTAGCTGGCACCTTCCCACTCATGGAAGCGTAGAAGAAGGAAAAACCTGTCTGTTCTTACTGGAGTGATGGAAATGTCAGATGGGTGCAAGAGGACACCCTGATCTGTGCCCATCTCCTGAGCTCTGGATGTTTTGTTACTTAAAGCCAGGACCAGGTTTCCCCTGGGCCTGCCTGTGGGAAGCAATTGGGTTGGCAGGGCATGTCTTTCCTCTTCTCCTTTGACCTGGCTGGCAAAGGTCTGTGCTGCTCCCAAAACGGCAGTGTTGGTAGGGGATTGGCTGCTGTGTGGGAAAGCAGGTGCCTGGGATTTTTTGCCCTCAAATGTCAACCCATCTGCTCCTGCCTTGGCATTTTTTAGGAGACGCTCTCACTAATAACACTTCTTTTTTTTCTCTTTATCTTTTGTCTAGAAACTCATTGCCAACATGTCTGATACCGAGGAAGTGTAAGTAGAGAGAAAGCTGCCTGCATATCTGTTCAGCTTGGCTCCATGCAGCAGTGAGGGCATGCCTGCAGGGAGGAGAGCCTGGGTGCCACTCTGTGCACAGCCCAAAGCCTCCTGAGGAAATGGGGAAGGGCTGTCTTGGCTTTGAGTGTCAAAGGGTCCATCAAAGTTCACCTGTTACTCTCCCTGTCTAACACAGGACATCCTCCAAATACTTCTACACAGCTCAGCCTGTGGCCTTACCTGGAGAAGGGAAATAAAACACACAGTGTGGTGGAGGAGCCACTTTCTGCCCTGGTTTAACAAATCTAGAGTAATATAACAAAACCCAATGGGATCATTGGACATTTTTGCATCAGTAGATACGGGGAGGAGATTTAGGGCAATCATGGGATCATGGACAGACTTGTAGTGGTCACTAAGCCTCCTCTTCTCAACTCAGCTCAACCTGTGTCATTTTGTCAAGCCTGCTCTCAAAAACAAATTCCAAAGATGAGGTTTGGCACCTTTATCAGACAATCTCTTAACACGTCCTTCATTCAGGGTCTTGCCCCAGGGCTGCTCTGAGGTTTGGGTTTCTTGCAAGGTGATGGTAAAACAGGAGAAGCTGGCAAGTGTGGGCAAGGAATGGGAACAGGCCACAAGACTGGTTTTAGAACAGCCACAGGATGAACACTGAGCAGCATCTGGTTTATGCCAAATTTTTATTAAACAGCCTCAGGGTTCATGAAGCATTGTAGCACATCTGGGTTGGTGTGGGCCATCAGCTGTAAGCTGGCTTGCCTGGCACAGTGGGGCTGAGGTCCAGCTTCATCAGTTCCTGCACAGTGCTCAAATGTGGGTATCATGTTGTAGATCTGTGGTGGTAAGATTTTTCCTGGATATAGAACCATAAACACCTTCAGAATTTGAAATGCTATTTAAAATAAAACCCAAACCCAGTCACTTTACTACTTTTAAAACCAGATGGTTCCTAGGAGAGCAGAGGGAGAATGGGGGAAAGAAGAAAGACTTCAAACAACAGTGCATTGGGTTGCTTCGATTTAAAGCTTGGCAACAATATGGAGTGGAAGAAATATTTACATAGTTTCAATAACCTTTTTTTCCCTCTCTCACAGGGAGCAAGGAGAGGGTAAGTCTTAATTCTGTCTCTAATTGCTTCCATGCAAGCCTTCAGCATTTGCTGGTCGTGTCCATCTTCTCCTTTCTGCCCACTGTTGAGATTTTAACAAAAAGTCTCACTACCGTTAGGCAAATCAGAGTTTTCTCTGTGTATGTTTGTCTGACTATCACCAGCTTCTGGTGATTTCACAGCACTTTTAGCACAGGAAGACTTGTCTCTCTTTGTGCTGCAGGCAGCCCTCGGGGTTTCGTACTGATGCCCTGTTTGCAGGGGACGCTGCTATTTTTCGTACGGGCACTGCCATCTGCTGGCAATTCGTTTTGAGGCTTTTGTATACACAGTATTTTCTGGTTTAAAACGTATCCCCCCCCCAAGCAATACACATAGAAACATACATACATGGGGCTTTTTTTTCGCTGTTTTTTTCTTTTACCTTGAGGCCTTCTCTGACACTTTAATCCTTCTAATGTGTGTGTACACTTGAGTTCCCCTCGCCCAAGAAAAAATTCAATACAATATGGCCTTCCTCCCCTTTTTATACCTCCTCTTTTTCTCTAAGTCATTTTACTTGCTATTTTACTTGGTGAATTGCAAATGGCCTCTTAAGGACCTTCTTGCCCAGCATCCATGTGAGAGCAAAGGGCTCTGCCACTGGTAACATCTTACCAATCTGTCAAGACTGATGTTTGATTTGTCTGCTCTTTTTTTCCCTCCGCCTATTTCAATGCAGAGGAGTACGAAGAAGAAGGTAACAAAAACCCTTGGAACGTAATTTATCTTTCTTTGAGTCTTGGTCCTGCTTTTTCCTTGTCTGTATTTCACCCTTCTCTTTGGTGCTTGCTGCTAAAGGTGATCTGAAAGACTTGATCAGTAAATCAGTCAGAAATTATAAAACCAGCTAGGTTTGGGCTGTGATGTGCAGAACCTTCCCATTATGGCAGATTTCTGTGAGCCATAGGGATGGTTGTAAACCTGGAAGCTAACCTGCCCCTTAACTTTTAGAGCAGGGATTAGCACAGAGCCCACACAACGTATCATCACTGAAATCCTGCCACTCTCACTTTGGAAATGTCCAGAGTTTAGATATTGAAACTGAAAAGAAGAGCAGGTTGATCAACTCCTGAGGAGCACCTGACAGGGTGCTGCTATGGATAGAAGAGGTGAGGCAGAGAACTGACTGACAAAGATGAAGTTTTTTAACGTGCCTTTTGCTGGCAAAAGGTGATTTGACAAGCTGCTAGAGCCGATCTGGAAAGATGGAGCATGAAAAGCCTTTCTCACCTGAGTTGTTTCACCTTTTGTAGGCAGCAGGGAGAGGAAGATATGGAGATGTATCACAGTCTTTGCTGGGCACTTTTGACATGCTGGCTCAGTTCAGGCGAGTGTAGCTGCCAGTTGTCATCCTGCATTTTCCCAAGGTGTCTGGGACCAGGGGACAAACTCTGGGGCTGTTTCCCAGGATCTGCCCTTAGTGTCCCAGACATCTGCTAAGGTGTCAAGAGCAAGACCCTTTACTAGGAGGTAAAATATTTGCATGTGGAGGGTGTGAGATCAGTTCTGAGACAGAGACATGTCCCTGTGTAGAAATGGCCCTATAGGGGATTTTACACACAGCTGCCAATTTTTTTTTTATTTTTTTTTTATTTTTTTTTTTGCCATGGATTCCCTCAGATTGCTGCAACTGGCCAATGCCCATCAGTAGCAGGAACGGAGGTGTGGCTGTGGCCATGCTGAGGGTAGTTCCTGCCCTAAGGTACATTATTCTTTAGTCTCTAATTCCCCATCATGGGTTCTAAGGGGGTCAAGGGTTCAGAAAAAAACTGAAAGAGAGTTGTTAAATGGGCTGTAGAGCTGCCTTTGGTCAACATCGTACGTCTAGTCCTGCCTGGAGAGGCAGAGCCAGGGATGTGAAGGTGCTATTCATGCTCCATCCTTCATGCCTTGTCAAATATCCAAAGAGTAAGCAAAGGGTGATGGTCCTACAGACAAGCCTTCTTTAAAGGAGAAGCATTTCTTGCCTTTCTTCTTTCTTCCCTGTCTACTTTTGGGTTTCAAGAATTTAATGATTAATGTGAAATTAATAGGCAGGTGACTTCCTATTCCTTTAATCTGCATGACTATCTCCTCTCAGGTGTTATCTTCTTGCTCCCCACTCTTGTGTGACCTTTGCATTCTCTTCCAAAGTCATCCACTTCCTTTCCACATAACTTTTCTCCATCACTTTCTAACCACTTTTTTCTCCAGGCCTCGGCTCACTCCAATACCAGCTTCTAACAGTTTTCTGTTTTCATTTTCTTGCTTGCTGTTGCTTCTTGTTCCATGACACTTGCCACCTGAAGCTCAGGAAGAAGGTTTGTGGCATGGCTTCACTTTCTCTCTCAGTGTGGAGGAAGAATGCGTGTGAGGAAATACATATGAAATGGTTCACACCCAGTGGCCAGGACTTGGTCCCAAGCCACAGACATCAATGCAATGATGGACATTGATGTCACTTATTGAGCTGGTAGGAAATTGGGCCTGGTTTTTGTTTGTTTTTTTTTTTTTTTCCTTTTGTCTAAAAATGCAACCCAAAACAGTTAGATATACATATGTATAAGAAATAAAATACACATGTACATGAAAAAAGTATATAATACACACATATATATAATATATATACAATCTATGTGTATTTGTGTACATGGAAACAAATATAAGTATTTTTTTGGTCTACCATTTTAATGAACTGCTTGACAATTTTGTCTCAACAGTGCCAAGGCTCCTCCTTTCTTTCTGAAAACTTATGTTTTTAAAAAGGAGGGGGACACCCTGCGAAGTTTATATACATCTGTTGAAAATCAGGAATTGATTTCTTTGAAATGTCAAAAATTGATAAATGTTGGTGAAAAGTTTTTGCCATTTGAGAAAAAAAAAATTAAACTACAAGAAATACAGAAATTTTATTTTGGTTAAAAATGCACCAGAAGTCAGTTTTAAGAAATTTTAGCCAGCTCTAATAAAGAATAAAATAGTGAATGCCTTTTTTTTTAATGTGGTTTTCATTTGTGGTCATGTTCCCATATTTCAGTAACATTTATAACCCCATCACATGCCCATAAAAATATTATTTTTCATTCTCTCTCACCCTGTAATCCCATCATTGTGTATTCTTAACCATAATGGCCTGAGAGCCTTGCAAACTTCAAGAATGTTCCAATAATTTTCTTGTTTTAATTTTCTTCTCCCATTCCCTTTGCTGTGTGACTTTTCCTATCTGCAGAAGAGGTTCAAGAAGAAGGTATGTGAAACGCTTCTCAGCCCCCCTCTTTCCTGCAGCAGGGCTGGGTGCTGATGTATGCCTTGATTTTGCAAGGTGGTAGAAGAAAGCAAGACAAAGATGCTGTGACAGATGACCTGCAGGCAGAGGGCTTTTCTTGTCCCTTGCAGAAGTTTCACTGAGGGTGCCCCATATCCTTGCGGAGCATACCTGTGCAGACATCCATGCTCTGGTTTTGGGGAGGGAACAGCAGAGGAAATGCAGATACCATCCCTTAATCCAAGCCACAGCAGACTCCAAGGCTGATATATAGCCCTGGGTGTTGGCAATGCCCACTGTGGAATAACTGAAGTCTGCCTAGAGAGGTTTCTATCAGGTATCAACTGGTTTCTTGTATGTAGCTTGGCAGATAATGATTGGATGGATTTTGAAATCAAAATCCATCTGTGGTAAGGTATGTGTGTAGCCATATGTCACATAGTACATATTCTATAATATGTAATATTATATATAGTACATTGTATATATTATAAGTTTATAGACTATAATATATCATAATATATATAATATTATTTATAACATAAATAATAATCCTGTAGAATGCAGATATTATTAATTGTATCTATATAGATGCTGGCAAGCAACCCCAGCTGGCTCCCTACATTGCATGAGGCATTTGCAAGGTGGGACAGAGAGGGCAGAAGAAGGGCTGGAACAAAAGCCCACCCTTTGCATTTGAGAGGTTCAGGATGTGGTGCTCCAGGTATGAGGAGCCAAAGGGTGTGTTGGTTCTGCATTTGCAAAGCTTTGAGCTATGGGCATATTTGAAAAAAGGGTAAACCTGTTTATAATGCCATGGGAGACCCACCCTCGGCAGTTTGCAGGGTTTTCACAGCATCCAGATCGTGAAGGTTTTACGTTTCTTTACCTGTGCGAGCTTTGCTTGCCTGTCTCCATTTCATCTTCTCTATTCCTCTATTCCATACCCTGTGCGGTTTATTTTTAGACCCCCTGTTGCACTCACACACTCTTTAATCTAACTGTTCTTGTTTTCCGTTTCATTGCTCTTGCTCCCTGTCATGTCCCACCTTATGAAGCTCAAGAAGCAGGTATGTGCCATCAACTTCCAAATTGCTCCCTGCCATCTCCTTGGTGGTGGTGGGGATTCAAGGGTGGTACAAGAGAATCAGAACTCTGTTACTTTGCCTTAATCCTCCTGTTGTCTTTTCTTTCCACCTCTCCTCTGTGACTAGCTCTGCCACAGGCTAACAACCAGGAATGCTCTCATTCGGTGCAAGGTCTGACAGATGTTAGCTAGGTGGTAATACAGCCTCTCTATCCCTCCTGCTCTGCACAGAGCTTGCCATAAAGCCCATCCTGGCAATGGCAGGAGGTTGTTCCTCTAAAACTACAATTAGAGAGAAATTTCAGCATGTGTTATTTGAGCTTACTGTGAGGTTTTCCCTCTCTGGTACGTTTTTGCCTCTTCCCTTCACATGCTCAAGTTGTTTCCCAACCTCATGTGCCTCAGATTCCCTCCCCTCCTGGCCATTAGTGCATCATTTACTGGGATAGAACTTGTCCCTCTAGCTTAACAGGGTTTTCAGCCTGTGTAATATCAGTTCATGTAATAACGTATTTCTCCTAATGTTCCTTTGCATCCTGCCTTGTGGCTCTTCCCACCTAAAGAAGCTCAGGAGGAAGGTATGTGACATGACTCCTGAATTCACATCTTTCAGAGTAAGCTCTGGTTTAGCCAATAAGCCATAAAATGGTAAAAGGAAACAGGAGATAAAGATAGGCATATTAATATAGAATAAAGCTTATTTTGTTTGTTGTACTCCTTTCCTTCATGTTCTAAAACTAAATGCACTGGCTGGCAATGCTATGTGGTAATTGT